TCCTCATTAACACCGGTAACTAGAGAAGTGCCACAGGGCTCCGTTTTGGGCCCTATATTATTTCTTATTTATGTTAATGATTTGCCCCAAAATTTGGAACATTGTACTACGATTATGTTTGCGGATGACACTACGATCCTGAATAGAGACAAACTGGTGCCTAGCGCCCTGTGTATGTCATCAGCGGAAAAATGGTTTGCTGCAAACCATTTAAAATTAAATGAGGAAAAAACTAATAAAATAACTTTTACTTCTAGTAAAATTACACAGAAGATGGAACCAATTAAATTACTTGGTATTACATTAGATGCTAATCTTAACTGGGGTCCACACATTGACGCTACTACTGCAAAAATTTCCTCTCAAATATTTGTGTTGAGGCAAATGCGACAATGTCTTGACAAAAAAATATTAAAAATGGTTTACTACGCCATAGTTCATAGTCATTTGTCCTATGGGATATTATTATGGGGTAATAGTAGTAGGGCAAATAAAGTTTTTTTCCTTCAAAAAGCAGCTATTCGACTTATAGCAGATGTAGAGTATAGAGAACCCTGTTGGGACTTGTTCAAACGCTACGAGGTTCTTCCACTTCCGTGTGTATTTATATTAGAAACTTTAAAGGAAATCGATCTTAACCTTAATGAATTTCAGACACATGTAGATATTCACAATCACGACACGAGGAATGCTAGGAACCTCGTATTGCCCTCATCTAGAATTCGTATCAGTCAGTATAATAAGCTTAATGTAAACATTTATAATGTCTTTGTAAACTATTATAAAAATAAAAATTTTAATTTGATGTCACACACAAAATTTCGCATGTTAGCTAAAGAGTTTCTTCTAGAACATTGCTTTTATAGCGTTTCTGATTATTTTAACTTTTTTAAATAGTTTTTATATTTTAATTTTAATATGTTCTTGTTTTTGTTTTAATTACTAACATTGACTTTACTTGTTTTAATTATTAATATTGACTATCTGTTTTAATCAATGATATTGACTTCTTTTAACAAAAATGTGTATATTTTAGACTTAATTTCTAATTAATAATATTGACTTGTTTTAACAACAAAAATGTCTGTTTTACATTTAATTTTATTTTGTATTTTAAAATTGTTTAATATTTAGCAAAAACCGTTGAGACTAATGTAAGCTTCAAATTTTTGTATTTTTTTCTTTGTTACTGTTATATTATGACTTTAATGTACTATATGTATGAAATGGTCAATAAACATTACTTACTTACTTACTTACTTACTTATTATTATTATTATTATTATTATTATTATTATTATTATTATTATTATTATTATTATTATTATTATTATTATTATTATTATTATTATTATTATTATTATTATTATTATTATTATTATTATTATTATTATTATTATTATTATTATTATTATTATTATTATTATTATTATTATTATTATTATTATTATTATTATTATTATTATTATTATTATTATTATTATTATTATTATTATTATTATTATTATTATTATTATTATTATTATTATTATTATTATTATTATTATTATTATTATTATTATTATTATTATTATTATTATTATTATTATTATTATTATTATTATTATTATTATTATTATTATTATTATTATTATTATTATTATTATTATTATTATTATTATTATTATTATTATTATTATTATTATTATTATTATTATTATTATTATTATTATTATTATTATTATTATTATTATTATTATTATTATTATTATTTTTATTATACATTGATAAAGGCTGAGGACACAAGTCCTATGATAGCCTAAAAACAAAATAGAAAAATTCTAACAAAGTAAACACACTGAAACAAAGAGATAAGAACAATAAAAATTAAATGTTAATTAAACAAACACTCGTCTAACTTATTTTTAAAGACGTTAACTGTTATGGCACCAACAACTTCGTCGCTGAGGTCGTTCCATACATTAAATACCCGGTTGGAAAGGAATGATTGTCTGTGCTTCGTTTTTAGGTTTTCCTTTTTTAATTTTAGTTCATGACCACGTAGACGAGAGTCCGTATTTAACAACAAAATGTCACTAAGATTTCCATAATTATATTTAAGTATTCTAAAAGTGAGAATTAGGTCCCCTAAAGTATAGTAGTCGACGATTCGCAAAAGTTGGTAAATTTGACAATTCTGCATATGATGGTCGGACTGCTCCAAAGGTCATTCTGGTTGCCCGGCGTTGAACATTTTCTAAAAGGTTCTGGTCTCGCACAAGAAGCGGACACCAAACTACACCTGCATATTCTAATAAAGGTCGAACATAAGTCTTAAATAATTTGATGGATGTATGAAAGGATACCTTTGAAAGAGTCTTTCGAAGCAAATATAACATCGAATTTGTACGTTTATATGTTTTTAGAATGTGTTCAGACCATGTTAGTTCTGACGTCACTAAAACACCTACACATGCAAGACTTATTTAGAAAAAAATACAACAGTATGTTCTGTGCTTTATTTAGCTATAAACAAGTTTATTTTTATTATTTTGACAAAATTATGTATAATTCCCATAAGAAGCCATGTATTTTGAACAGCGTATGCAGTACCAGCGTCCATGCGCTTAATTATAGAAGCTCAATTAGCATGCGTTTTTTGGGACCGTATTTTGAGTATGCCGATTCGTATCCTTATCTATAGTCTTCATAGTTCTTATATAGGTTTTTAAAAAATCTATTATTTTATTGTTTTTTAGAGGTATTTATATTTTTATTTATAAATTATATTCTAGTGTTAAATCTTTTTTTTTTAATATCGGTAGTTTGATTTTTTAAAAGATAAATTACAAAACAGCTCGGAAAAATCATGTAATAATTTCCATAAAATTTCAAATGAATTACTTTTTATGTGAATTATTAGGAGAAATTTTATTTTGTGATTGGTTTATTTTTTAAAAGCATTAAACATGACCAAGAGCAAGAAAAGTCAATGGGCTTTACTAAAAGAACATACGTTATTGAAAAATGGGTTTCCTACATTATTTTTTTTAGTAAAAATGAGTCACAAATAATTTTAAAGAGAGTTCAGAAAAAATTTTTGAACCATTTTCGATAAGATATTTGAGTAAAATGTGTTATCTTTATCTCAAAAATACTCTTAAGTATCTCTTGCTGGGAATGTCAACTTTACAAAAGTGCTCTTGTGCAAAAAAGTCTTGGTTTAACAGAGCTTCACATACAAAGACGATATTTAACATGAAAAGCTAGATTGCATTGAGCTTAATGGTTACATTACCATTAAAGTACTTAACCTGGGGTTCAGAACATTAAGCTTCTATTTGCCAGCTGTTAATACAAAAATTTTAAACGGTGCCCTAATTTTTCAAATAATCAGTAATTATCATCGCCTTCAAGACAATCTGGATATCTTTGTTTGTAAAAAACGGGATATTTTTATAGCTATTACTATAAAAACATAAATTATTTTTTATATTATGATGTGCTCTGCGTGTAAAGTTAATAGATACGTCATATACGAAGAATTGCCTACTATATATTTTATAATCTCTGTCGTATAGTATATATTGTCTTGTTCAATATTTCAATTTGTATTATAGACACGCAAAAAAGACTTGAAAAATACATATTTTTTTAAAAATATTTTTGGTTATACAGAGTATTGCGTTTTTACCTGGCTAATAATGCAAGTTTTTTAAATAGAACACACTGTATTTTATTTTTAGAATGGTTTATTATTACTGTATTCAATCCTAGAATGTTTTTAAAAAATGTTGGTGTAGCCAAGCAATTAATTTTTTTTTAAATTAGAGAATGATTCAGACCATAAATTTAATTATCATAATTTAGGTAGGTTTACATTGATTTTAATATTGATTAATATACAGAATTATAAGATACTCTGCTAACGAATAGTGGTGATAGAACTGGTTTATTTTATACATAGTGTTTTGAAAAATGTCTTAAATATGGCAAATTTTTTCAAATGCAATACCCTATATATGCTAAGATAATATATTATATTATCTTAGCATAAAATTCCTTATACATTTTTCTATACAACGATATCAATATGTAAGCCAATAACACATATGGGACACCCTGTCCCATCAGTGCGTAATTCATCGATAGCTGTTTAATTATTAGAAATATAAACAAATTTTTAACGAAAAAGTTGTTTGACCATATTTAACAGTTCTTCTTTAATCTACAGGGTGGTGCATAAACGAGGTGCTGACCAAATCTATACTTTTTTAAAACAAAACACCCTGCAGTTAGTTATACATATTTGATTATTTTCACATCGTCAAAACAATTTTAGCCGACTTCGTTCATTTGAAATGTTTTAAAGAGCAAACAACATAGCAAATAAATATGGAGTCGTCAAAAATAAAGGTACTTTACACTTCAGCAAAATTCATATTTTTTGACAAACCTCGTTTACGGTGTAAAAAAAATGATATCTGATGGTTGCATTTTATGTTTTGGACCATGTATACAGTTTCAAAACATATATCTACAATAGATAAAACTATTGAATTGAAAAAGTATTCAATCCTACAACGTATGACCCATACGTTTTGTTATTGTTAAATAAATTTGTTTCTCTTAATTATTCGAATCAATTATCAAAATTATTAATTATTATGAAATTACAGTGCATAAATGGTTAACAAAATGGGAACCTTTTCAAACGGTACGCCATTAAGAATGGGGGACCTACCCCACTCCCCTCACGTCTAAAGTGAGAGGAGAGCTTATACATAACAATATACATTAAATAAGATCTCTTATATGCTCTAAGGTAAATAGTATCGATTTCAAATTCCATCAGCTTGTGGGTTAACATTATTTAGTGTGAAATACAAAATGGTTATTAGGTATACTAGTAATAAATACTCTACAAGTAGACGAACAAGAAAAATGGCTGCGCTTATTGAGTTGCATCCCAGTCTCATTGAAAATCATTCTACTCCACTCCATTTCATTGATTGTAGCTAAACAGATTAACAAGTAAAAATTTGGCTTCTGCGACTGTCTTTATCTATGAATCTATAAAATTAGCTTATTATGCTTTTTAGACCTAATATTACTTTGTCAAAATCTTGGGGATACATAACCAGTGATGGAAGTTTTGATGGATTGGTGGGAGCTTTGCAGAGAAAACAAATAGATTACGGAAGTTCTCCATTATTTGTACGTACTGACAGAGCTGAAGTTATGGAATATGGACGACGAACTTGGACTCTAAGGTAATTAATGCAGTTTTTATGTTTAAAATTGATTCATTAAGAAAAATTGTGATATTTTTAGAGCGGCTTTTATATTCAGAAATCCTAAAACGGTAGTTTCCATAGGCGTATTTACCAAACCTCTGTCCACTTCAATATGGCTGTCCTTATTCTTCACTAGTAGTTGCGTGCTTTTTATTTTGAAATTAACTCAATCGATGGAGAAGACAAAGGTCAATAGGAAGAGTGAAGCAAGTTGGAGCTATCTTATAATATGTGCTGTAGGGGTTTTTTGTCAACAAGGTAATTTTATTAAAAATATTAATTTGGATACCCTTAGATACCCTTAGAAATGTATTTTTTAAGAATATCCAATAGAGTTAAATCACTCAAGGTAACATAACCTTATTTAGTTGACGTTGACATTTCTATCTTTATGACTTTACACTTTTGTAATTTGCAAAATGTTATTTTTGGAAAATTCATATTTTTATTTTTCAGGCGTAACCAACCTACCGTTTACATATTCAGGTCGTATAACAATGTTGTTCATGATAGTTTTATCGTATTTGGTATATCAATTTTATTCAGCCAGTATAGTTTCAAATTTATTGATCAAACCGAAAACGTTAATCAAATCTGTGGAGGATATTTTAAAATCAACAATGAGAGCTGGTTGTGAAGATATACTGTATAACAGAGACTACTTTTTGGTAAGTATAATGGGTAGAACATGTCATGCCAGTGGCGGGTTATGCCATGAGGTAGATCAAAAAAATATATTGTTATATGTCTAACAAATAATTTTGATCTAAAAGTTATATCCCACCAAAATAAAGTTAACCAATAAAGTCTATTATTATTAAGACAAACTAAATAATTTAATTAAAATATTGTTTTTATTTTTTGCTAGGTATATTTATTCATACACAAAATTAAAAACATACCCATTTTTAAATTATATTATCTAAGCATCTTTTTGAATTTTTAGGAATGGAATATCGTGTTTATTAATGGTTTTCATACCTTATTTTTGAATTTTTCTTTTTACATTCTTGGGACAGGTGTTGTTTTTCATTTTAAATAATGCTGAAAATCTGGCGAAGATCGCTGACTAGATTGTCGAAATGAATTCGTCAGATTCTCAGTATATTTGTTGTGCGGGTCAGTCGCAATCAAGCCAATCATTGCATGAAGATAGACTAAGCATTTTAGAGGATCAAATGTCCGATCTTGTTGCTTCCGTTAAGGAATACAAGTCCCGTAAACATTTTAGAAACAGGTCCAAAAGTAGAGAAAATCTGTCAAACACTCACCGTTACTGTTGGTATCACTACCAATTCAAATAAAATGCTCGTAAATGTATTCAACCATGTTCTTTTAAAACCATTTATATAAATAACCAGGAAGCTTGTAGGTCCATCACTAAAGTCGGCAAGTGATGGCAAAATAATTTTTTCTCGCCGCATGTTTATTTATGATCGTTCCTTCGGTATGAAGTATTTAATTGCCACGAGCGCCGATATTTGGGTTATTCCTACCACTAAATTTGAAAAGCGCAATATAGATAAAAGAGTACTTTCTGCTGCAAATGGGTCAACTATCAAAACTTTTGGTTCAAAATTGTTAATACTTGATCTAGGTTTACGAAGGAAATTTCAATGGCCATTTACTATTGCTGAAGTTGATTATCCTATTTTGGGAGCAGACTTTTTAGATAATTTTAAAATATTAGTAGATATTAGAAATAAAAAACTTATGCATTCTACAACTAAATTAAACTCGCACCAAATTACATTGCTTTAACGGTGTCTGTGTTAAATCCAAATCAAAAATATAGCGAAATTATTAAAAACGTTCCTAATTTACTGATGGACAAACCAAATTATTCAAATCCTTCACCAGAACTCAGCCATTCGATTGTAACTAAAGGTTCTCCAGTGATCGCAAAATCTCGTAGGTTACCACCAAATAAGTTGAAAATAGCAAAAAACGAATTTCAGCACATGATGGAACTTGGAATTTGTCAACCTTCACAAAGTGCATGGGCAAGTCCTCTGTATATGGTACCAAAGAAAGACGGATCTTGGAGACCATGTGGGGACTATAGAGCTCTTACTACCAGAACTAAACCTGACAAATACCTCACATTGAGGATTTTAACTCTGAATTAGACGGAAAAACAATTTGAAGATTGAACTAATTAGAGCCGACCATCTTATTCTAATTGCTAAAGAAGATGTCCCAAAAACAACAGTAACAACTCCATTAGGGTTATTCGAATTTTTAAAATTGCCAATCGGTCTCCGATTCAATCTTTTCAAAGGTATATGCATTCAATCATAAGAAATCTTCGCTTCGTTTTTGCATACATCGATGACATATTAGTAGCATCAGTTGACGAGGAAGAACACAAGGTACATCTGGAAAGAGTATTTGAAATTTTAAATAACAATAATATTAATATCAATCCTAATAAATGCACTTTTGGGGTATCAGAAATTCCTTTTCTAGGTTTCTTGGTAGACGCAAAAGGTATCAAACCCTTGAAGAGAATGTGGATATTATACAGTAATTGCCTTTACCGATAACGGTATGGTAAATTTCTATAGACGCACTTTATTAAATTTAGCAGAAACTCAAAGCATTTTGTATGAATTAACAAAAAATTCAAAAAAACGTGACAAAAGGAAAATCACATGGACGAAGGAAACCGAAGAAGCTTTTAACAAACTAAAAACAAATTTGTCAAATGCTATTCTTTAGACACATCCATCTGAGAATTTGCCATTAGCACTAATGGTAGATGCATCAGATCTTTCGATTGGTGCAGCGTTACACCAAGTAAGAAATGGCGTTTTAGAACCCTTAGGTTTTTTCTCAAAAAAACTAAATAATGCCCTAAGAAATATAGCACATATGATAGAGAATTATTAGCAGCATACGAAGGCATTAAAAAGTTTAGTTATTTGATAAAAGGAGGCGATTGTATTATTTATATACGGATCATAAACCGTTATCATTTGCTTTTCAACAACTATCTCACAAAGCATCACCACGTTAAAATTTTGGGCTAATTTCTGGTCAAGAGTAAATACTTTATTAGTACCGCAGCAAAATTCACTAGATGATATTGCGGATGCTCAAATGGAAGACTTAAAAATTCAACAGCTTTTAATTAGTCCTAACTGTAATAGTTCCCTAAAATTACAAAAAATTACACTTCCCAGCGGAAAAGATTTGATATTCGACTCTAGTCAGAATAATTTTATGCCCCTCGTATGCAAAACATTAAGGAAATCAATTTTTAATTGTATTCGTAATTTATCACATCCTGGAGTTTGAGGCTCAGTTAACTTATTAAAGAAACATTACGTTTGGCCAGGAATAGCAAAAGATTGCCGATTGTGGGCAAAAAGCTGTATTCCTTGCCAAAAAGCTAAAATTTGGAAACATACGATCAGTCCAGTAGGACAATATCGCAATCCAGATCAACGTTTTGAACACATAAATGTTGATATCGTTGGGCCTTTACCTATTTGTCAAAACTTTAAATACCTAGTAACGATGATTGGCAGATTTTCGCCTTGGCCTGAAGCAGTACCTGTTCAGGGTATCACTGCGGAAACGGTAGCCCAAACTATTGTAAATACTTGGGTTGCAAGATTTGGAGTTCCAAATATGAAGACTAGAGATAAGGAGGCGAATCGGCCTTGGTCAAATTTCAAATTTCCGTCCCTATTTTTATGGAGTTCCAAAAAACTACTGTAGTTTTGAGTGATTTTTGTAAAATTTAGTGAAAAGAATAAAAATAAGCTGAAATATAGAACCTGACTACAAGTAACAATGAGTAACAAAAAACGGCAAAGCAAGATCCGATATAAAATTAAAAAAAAACACAAAGAGATAAAAATCCAAGTCTTTTTAAAGCTCCTAGTGTAAGTCAAATAATGTATTTATTTCTAAATAATATATATTTATTGTAAAATATTCACAACCCGTATCTTACGGAGTGTAGTTTATTTAATTACAAAATTCTATAATAAAAAATAATAAAGTCCTAAATCCTTACTTACAAACAACAATAATTACACATTAAATTTAACTTACTAGAAAAGAAAATTTGCTTTTTTTTATGTTTTTTGATGTTAGATGAAGAGTGACTACTCTTATTTTTCTTTATTCAACTCCAATTTAGTCATTGCAAATATTTTTTATAGAATCCTAAACGTTTAGAATAATGGCAGCGTGTGATTCCTAGGGCTGATAGAGTACTGTCTAGTTATGATTCTGTTTGCGAGCTACACTTTTTTGAATATGATATTTTAAAATTTAATGAGAATATTTTAACTAATGGTACTGTTAAAAAAATAAAAAGGGGAAGGCCGAGATTAAATATCGAAGCAATACCATGTATATTCCCGAATCTCCCTTCATACTTGTCCAGTATTAGTAAAAGACGAAAACCACCATTGAACCGAACTGAATTTGTTGCTGAAAAAACTATTCACCAGGATGATGAAATTGTAGTTGTCGAATACAAAATTACCACAAAACTATACTTACCAAATTTCACCATTTAACAAACCTTTTCAAATTTGGTCATACCTAATTTTTATTTTATTTAGATTAAATTAAATATTGTTTAACATAAAGACTCATTTATAATTAATACCAACAGTATTTTCTGTACTTTAGTTAGCAATTAAAACAAAGACTTATTTACAATAATTAAAATCAACAGTATTTTCTATGCTTTAATTAGCAATAAACAATTTGATTTTTATTATCTTCATAAAATTTTGTAAAATCCCTAACTAAATATTTTCATTTAAACCGTGTCTTAGTATGTCCCTTCGAGCATAGGTATGCCCTCAGCCCTATTTAGCTTTAATTAAAAAATAATTAGCCCTACCCATCAACACTTATCATCAATAATTTGCATTTTTCTTAAATAGGATTTAATAGTAAATAATGTATCAATTAAAATATGTAAGACTCATTCAGAAATAAATACAACAGTATGTTCTGTACTTTATTTAGCTATAAACAAGTTTATTTTTATTATTTTGATAAAATTATGTATAATTCCCATAATAGGCCATGTATTTTGAACTACGTAAACCGTACCAGCGCCCATGCGGTTAATTATAAAAGCTGAATTGTCGTGTGATTTTTGGGGACGTATTTTGAGCATGCCGATTCGCCTCCTTATCTCTAGTCTTCATAGTTCCAAAATATGTCACAATTGACAGAGGTAGACAATGCGCTAGTTCAGTGATGATGTAATTATGGTTGTCATTAAAGTGACAGTAGATTTTTTGAGTGCGTTTTGTTCGTTTTGTTTATCTAAATTATATCGTTTTTTTCACTTTCATAAATATATTCCTAAAGTAAGTAGATAGCATGTATCAAATATACAATCATTTAGTTACCAATTGCATACCTGTAAACTATTTTTTATGACCTGTAAACAATATTTTGAAATAAAATAAAAACAGTAAAAACGTATATGTCAAATTTATTGATGCTTTTGTTAAAAGTTTGGTTAGAATTAAATGTCAGTGGAACCAAAATGACATCACACTGAACTAGCGCATTCGACTGTTCCCTATTTTGATGTTTAGCTATTTGTTTAGGCATTAAGGCTACAGCAACCAACGGCAAAATAGAACGATGGCATAGATGTTTAAAAGACGCCTTAAGATCACAACTTCCCAAAAATTGGGTGGAAAAACTACCTACTATTTTGTTAGGATTACGATCTAGCATGTCAGCTACAAATAAAATATCTGCAGCTAAAATGACGTATGGTCAAACTATTAAACTTCCAGCAGACCATTTTAACGATTCTCCCATCGATTTAAATGCACCAAATTATATATTTAAACTAAAACAATACATGTCCACAATTAAACCTGTACAAATCAAACATCACTCAAGAGAAAAAATATTTATCCACCCGGAGATGAAAGATGCCACACATGTTTTTATTTGGCATGACGGCACACCGCTCGGCTCTTCAACCTGTTTATGATGGCCCTTTTTCAGTGTTACAAGAAAAAGAAAGAACCTTTGAAGTCGCAACGAACAGAGGTAAAGAAACCATCGCAACAGACCGATTGAAACCAGCCTACCTCGTCATTACAGTTGATAGTATCATCCAAGTGATAGAAGAGATAAGTGTCGACATGGGAAAACAAACTAATGGAAAGAAAGGAAGCGTCAGTTTTGCAGCTTTTACATCACTGGGAGGGGAGTAGTGTGGTGGATTCACTGATCTGAAAATAATACAGATCAGTGGGTGGATCGCTATGGATCCAGCTTAAGAATGAGTTGTTTCTGTTTTTAGATTTTATTGATTTTGAATTCAACGTGACGTTATGTTTGTTTAAGTTGTCAATTTGTAATATTTATAATAAAGCCTTTCATCTAAAGATTTCTTAGTCCCTATTACTATAATATAAAAGAAGCTGTATAAAAGTTATAAATAGACGTGGAATATAATATTTTTTTTATTAAAAAATACTAGTAACAATACATTTTTATTTTATATTTTTATTTATATGTATAATTTGATTTTCCCTTGTATAGAGGGCTGTGCCCTACAGCCCTTACATTCAAGCTATATTCATTTTTTATTTACATTTTTTAAATTTTTTTAATAACATTTGACATTGGTTTTTAAATGCGTCTCGCTTAATATTTATAAAATAGTGCAAATGCAACAGTGCACCTGTGGAGGCAGTGAATTCGGTGGATGAGGTCCATTATGAGGTGGTCCATGATGAAGTGGTCCATGGTGAGGTGGTCCATGATGAGATGGTCCATGATCATGCGTTACCTTATAAGGAGGTGCATGACAAACATCACGATGGGGTGCATGCATTTTGTTTATTAGTGACTTTACAGCAATCTTCTTGTTCTTATCTATTAGTAGTTACAAATTACAACACATTATTTTTTTCTGTTCTTCTTAATCCATTTATTGTTGTTTTTAAACGACTGTTTCAATTATTTATTGAAATATATCATAGCTCTGTGAGAATAATTGCAAAATGTTTTTTTTATACTAACAACTGTATTTTTGATGTGTACATGAATGTGGTGTAATAATTAATAACCAATAAATAAAATAAATGCTATGATAAGATAAAAAGATATTTAATTTTTTTTATGATGGTGTATTATTTGAACATATGCATCATCTTGTCAATATAACAAATATTGCGATATCAACAAACCCATACTGGTTTGCAATCTATTCAGTAAAACACACAAAATGGTGTATTACCCGATACTGATGAGTTATAAATAAGCGAGACAGTTTTGTTTAAAAATGTCAATGTTTCAAAATAAAAAGTTAATTGAATATCGAAGCGATATGCATTCTCAGCTAGGAGAAAAATTGATACGCCCATGTATATTGTTCATGCCTAGTGAAATCACGGTGGAATTATTAATAAGGGATGTCAGCTCCCATTTTGGTGCTAAATTGAAGTCTTAAATCCTTAATCACACTAAAATTTGGGGTACTACAAAGTCTGAGTATTTGCTATTTATTCGCTGTTACGAAATGGCCCATTTTATGTAACTAGTAAATATTTGCAGGACGAGCAGATCGAGGTTTCCGCAACATGTCATAATTTCGTATCGTGTTACATACAATTGTTTTAATTTAATTTTGATTAGATTATTTATAAAATTGTGTTTTGTTAAAAACATATATATAACCAATATTACTTTCTTGTGTTGTTAGTTGCATATGCATAACTTCATTTTAGTTCATTGAAAAAATAGAAAATCATACTAATATTTTTTCAATAACTTGCTGTAGGGTGTTTATGTTGCTTTTTAAAGTAATATAGGTATCGAGAAAGTGGGTTAATTTTGTCGTGTATTTTGAGTTTTGATTATTTTGTGCTAATTTAGAATAGCAAATAGAGACCAAAACAAGATTACTAGGTTGTAAGTTCAATAACCAAATTCTATTTTATATGGTGAATCTTCCCTTTTTTGATATAAACTTTCAATAATAATGTATATATAATAGAATTTATTTAATTGTGACCTTAAAGACGGTTTTCCACTAAACGGACAGTTGAGTTTATGTTTTGTTTGTGTTTTCTGGAACTTGAAAAACGAAAACGAAAGTAAGACAAACCCAAAACTCTTGTTTCCATTGAGCGGACTACATTTTATTCCAGTTTTGTTTTTGTTTTCGGCTCTTTTCCACTAATTGTCGTAGTTAGAATACATTTTTTCAATATTCAATTATGCAAACCACTTCTTTCTAGTTTAAACGATAGTGAAGTTATTTAACAAAAACACTTATTTCTGTTAAAATTTCTCCAAATTTGATCTGAAAATCCTATTTTCTGGCCTTACAGACAACCCAGTGGTGACTTTTTAAAAAATATTATGTAGAGCTTTTAAAGAGGAATTTAATGATGCAAACCACTTCTTCCTAGTTGAAACGAGAATCAAGTTATTTAACAAAAACACTTCTTTCTGTTAAAATTCCCCCAAATTTGATCTGACAAACCTATTTTCTGGCCTTACGGACAACTCAGCGGTGACTTTTTTTTGACAAAAAGTTTTTTTTTTTTTTCAAAAACTTTTACAATAATATTTACGTTACGCGTTACGTTACGCGTTGCGTTACGCGTTACGTTACGCGTTATGTTACGTATTACGTTACGTATTACGTTACGTATTACGTTACGTATTACGTTACGTATTACGTTACGTATTACGTTACGTATTACGTTACGTATTACGTTACGTATTACGTTACGTATTACGTTACGTATTACGTTACGTATTACGTTACGTATTACGTTACGTATTACGTTACGTATTACGTTACGTATTACGTTACGTATTACGTTACGTATTACGTTACGTATTACGTTACGTATTACGTTACGTATTACGTTACGTATTACGTTACGTATTACGTTACGTATTACGTTACGTATTACGTTACGTATTACGTTACGTATTACGTTACGTATTACGTTACGTATTACGTTACGTATTACGTTACGTATTACGTTACGTATTACGTTACGTATTACGTTACGTATTACGTTACGTATTACGTTACGTATTACGTTACGTATTACGTTACGTATTACGTTACGTATTACGTTACGTATTACGTTACGTATTACGTTACGTATTACGTTACGTATTACGTTACGTATTACGTTACGTATTACGTTACGTATTACGTTACGTATTACGTTACGTATTACGTTACGTATTACGTTACGTATTACGTTACGTATTACGTTACGTATTACGTTACGTATTACGTTACGTGTTACGTTACGTGTTACGTTACGTGTTACGTTACGTATTACGTTACGTATTACGTTACGTATTACGTTACGTATTACGTTACGTATTACGTTACGTGTTACGTTACGCATTTGCAAAAATATTTTTTTACAAATTTTTTTTTGACAAAAATTTTTTTACAAAAATTTTCTATTTTATACGGCCAACCTTCTCTTCTTTGGTATAAACTTTTAATATTAATGTATATATAATGGAATTTATTAAATTGTGACCATAAAGACGGTTTTCCACTAAACGGACAGATGATATTGTCTTATTTTTGTTTTCTAGGATTTAAAAAACAAAAACGAAACTATGACAAACCCAAAACTCTTGTTTCCATTAAGCTGACTACATTTTGTTCCAGTTTTAATTTTATTTTCGGCTCTTCTCCACTGATTGTCGCGAGGAAGTTAGAATACATTTTTTCAATATTTTAATTACCTATATTTTTATATTTACTTTTTAAGATAGATCCAAACTGAAAATACATAAAAAAAGTAGTTTAAAAGATGTATGGGACATCATAGAAACCTAAAAAGAACAATACTTGGACATAACCTAGTCTGGTTCTGATACACAGATACATAATATAATCTACTAATAAATATACTTTTACAAATTATTCAGCGTTCCAAAATAAATTACTTATCTAGAAAAAAATACGTTATTTACTTACCTATCCAATTTGGTACTAAATTTAGACTACACAACATGACATTTCCAGTAAGCAGACTCGAGTTTCAAAACGAAACCTTTTGTATCGTTTCCAGAATTCTTCAAAACAAAACTCCAACTGTCGCAAAACACGCCAGTCTTCAAAATGTTTACGTAAAGTTCCAGTTTTGTTTTTTTTTTTTTTTCGATACGAGTTTTTGTTTTGTCCTTTTAGTGGAAAACCACCATACGAACGAAAAAAAAACAAGATGACGACGACTAATAAAATTATGTACTCCCAAAAAAATTAATAATTTTGACAATTGCTGCGATTACAAAAATACGTCACTTTATATGTCAAAATTAGAAAAAATATTTTTATACTGCGGTGAAATTTCAACCAGAGATTCTATTTTTCTCTATTTTAGTACACTTCAGACAAGCCTTCAAAAGATCTATATTTACAAAAAATCCTAAGCGGAGTCAACAACTCGAATTTTCTAACTCCACAAGAAGGCCTTGATCTTGTCAAAGAAGGAGGGTACGCTTTCCACGTGGAACTGGCCACCGCCTATCCAATTATCCAAAGTACCTTTTCAGAAAGGTCTATGTGCGAATTAAGGGAAGTTCAGATGTATAGAACGCAACCCATGCATTCTAATTTGCAAAAATACTCGCCGTTTAGGGATATGTTTGACACTTGGTGAGTTTTTCTTATGCAGCGTTTAAAAATCCATATCCGATGCATTTTTTACATCTCCAGCGTTTGTTTATCCACATCGGACACATCTACTACATCTACATTTTTTACATCTCGATTTGAAATGAGATGTAAATGAGATGTTCGTTCCATGTCAGAAAGTGTTTTGTAAAGCCAAGTTTGTCAATTTATCCTTTAGTTATGCTATCATGAATATATGCAAATGTCATTTGTTTGTTTAATTTTTTAGATTTCAAATTTAGATTGATTTGTAGTCTAAAAAGTCAAATTTAAAAAGTAAAAACTTCTAACTTGTCATTGTCATTTTATCACGTGCCCAATAAAGTCTAGAGCACATACTTTGATTTTCTTTTACGTCTAGAGCGTTTGTTGATAGGTTTGTTTTGGTTCACGTTCTAGAATTGTTCCAGAACCATGCGCAGAACAGTTGCGCAATGGTCCTTAATTATGAATAGTTCTGTAACCATTCCATTGTATTCGAAACCAAAACACTGCCAGAACAGTTGAATGTCAAAAAGTAATTTATAAATAAAAAAGAAGAAATAATACAGGGTCAGTGTCTAGGTAAGAAAGAGAACACATAATATTGTAAAACGTAGATAAATTAAATAATTTATTCGTAAAAAATCAACATCAACTAATCAACTGCTCCATTCTCATTAGTCATTCGAAAATTCCTTGTAAAAATTCCAACACAAAACATGGCCAGGATCTCAAAAACAAAATTACTTGCAAAAAAGCGCAAGCGCAAACATATCAATTCTGAAACAGTTCTTGCTTTAGGCCAGAACCGACGTTACTGTTCGAGAATGGTTATGGAACCATTCCCAAGAAAAACCAAAACACAGAAATTGAGGGTTCGGAACAGTTCTGGCGAAACCAAAACAGCAATTATCTCTTGCGCAAGCTCCAAAGGTTCTGTAAGAGTTCTAGAACAGTTACGATAATGAACCAAAACAAAGCTTATTACATCTACTCAGATCTAATTCTATATCACGTGATAAAAATTCACAACATCTCAGATACATCCGATGTGGATATTGAAACGCGGCATTATTGTACTATGATGCAGCACTCCAATGGCACTCCTAATAATACCTATTAGCTAGGCAACCAGTATTACTTACATTATAATTTTAATTTTAGCCTACAGCGTTTGGCAGAATATGGGATTTTAGATAAAGAAATCACATTTTGGCATCCCAATAAACCGGAATGTGTTCAATCTAAAGATGCGTTGAATTTCCACTTGGGCATTGAATATTTTTATCCTGTTTTGACACTATTGTTGATTGGAATCGTCTTAAGTTTGATAATCTTGATATTGGAGTTGTACGTAAATTTTAAGCATAGAGTTGAAAAATTTAAGAAAATTGTACCTTTGTACCCATTTACCAACTAAATGGTTTACTAGCGAAAACATTTTTCTCTTTCTAGTGGTAATGTAGCATTAGATAAGTTATAGTTGAATTTTAATTAAATATTAAACTTAAATTTTGTTACTTTTAAAAAAATATGTAGGCATTAAAATAGCTGCTGTAGTTCGTGATGGATTAAATATTGCATATAATTAATTTTTGTTTTAACTGAAAATGACTACCCCGCAATAGGGATGAGTGCGGTTATATACTTACTAGTTCTGCAAAAAAACAAATTAAATCTAGTAGATTTGAAATATCCTCGTTTAATTTTTCAATAATTATATTGTAACCTCAAAAACCAAGATTATAGTGTACCGGGTTGTCGATCTCAACCTTTCTGCCTTCAGCTTCACTCTGTAGTGGAGATGGGAGTGAGTTTAAAAATGATCGAAATAATTGAGCGCCAAGCCGTTATATCTTCTTCCAGATTCCAAAATTGACCTACCTCTTAAACGGCTAAACTGGGTAAATCAAAGACAATACTTCCAATACATACAGATATGTTTTATTTTGAGAGAAAGACTACAACAAGCAACGTAATGATAAAATATGGTATAGGCAAAAACAAATTATCACTATCACAAATTTTGGGTAGCGCACAAGTCCAAAATATAATAAAAATATTGAAACACTAGTACTTACACATTAAGTATCTAAGCGGAGATTAAATAAATAAAAGTACACTAAAAGTGAATAACGCACGGCGGTTTTGGTACCAAAAACGACGGGTAAAAATTAATCGACGTTAGAGAAATAAAAATAAGAATAACCTTAATTTCCGCCTTACATATACATATAAAAGTAAAGTGGACCATTAATACCAAGTAGGACTTCAGTATACCCCCATTTACACAGTAAATCTACCACAAACAATTTAACAAAATCCCTGAATCCCATAATAGTCACATTTCTTTGCCAATTTTTACCTTCTACAAGGAGAATGGAATAATTTGCTTTCTATACCGCCGCATACCTCCCATCGAATCCAGCCTCTGTATTTGATTTTTTTTCATCACTGAAAAAAGCCTACGATGTCGAATGTGATATCTTCTTAAAAAAGAGACCCTATGTAAAAATAACCATTTATAACGTTAACAGCTTATTTACTAAACCTTATATAAGGGTTGCCACCCCAGAGAAAGATATAAGTAGTTTCCGGAAATCGGGAATTTTTCCCATCAACCGAAAATTATTTACCCGAGATGATTTTTTGCAAAAGACTATTTCCGTTGTAGCTGAAAATAAACAACTTGCTAAAAATGAAGCTACTATTATGAGAACACCCTGCAAGGATGAGCTTAAGGAAATAGAAAACTAAAGACAGAAAAAAATAGAAAATTATATACCAAAAATAAAGGGCAAACAAACAAAATTAGCAACCAGGAAGATTAAAAAGTCTGTTAAACGAAAAGTTTTTGATTTGTCAAGTGACGAGGAAAGCATTAATGATCAAGATCTGTGTAATGACGATGAATTAGATTAAGATTCTTGCATTATATGTGGGGAATACGGCAAGAATCTGGTACAGATGTATCAACTGTGGAGAGTGGTCACATAAATTATGCAGCGGTGTAGAGAAGCCTGACAACTACAAATGTGACCTTTGCAATTAATATGTTTTTTTTTCATCAGTTGATCCTTATTAAAGGCAAAAAAGTTCTGCCTGATAATTTAGGTAATTTTTTTCTTCTTCCTAAGAATCTAGGTTTTGTTTGGTTTCATTATAGTTCGAGAGTTAGGTACCTATATTTGTATTTTAAAAACACCAAACTATTTTTTTATTAATGCGATAAATAAATGCACCTTTGTTCGCAACTCCCTTCCTAGTGTTTGGCATTATCCTCCTGGTGTTCGGCATAACATAAGGTGCCGGGTAATCGCAATTTTGACCACGATTATTTAGACAATCTTTTTATCCTTTTTTTCAATTATTATAATTATGTGGCAGTCAATGGGGTCTATTCTGTAACAATTCCTTTATATTTAACGGCATTTAAAAATATTTTCTTCTTTACTTCTGTCATTATTTAAACGGATCTTTAAAATACATTAGAGGACTATCTTAAAGAAATCTGTTTAAATAATGACAGAAGTAAATTAACCTAACCTAGTTTTCTATTGAGTTTTGAGTTTGTTGTTTGGATTTTTCTTTTAAATTGTATCTATATAGTGTTAATTTTTTAAAAATGGCAAAAATGCAAACTGGATTAATGAAAGGATCTTCTGATAACTTACCTAAGGTGGATTCCGATATGATAAATGATTTTTTTATATTAACCTACAGAGTTGATCAACTATGTTTTATAAATTGATATCAAATTGAAAAAAATAAATTAAAAGGTGAATTACTTACGTCAAAATGGTCTTCGCATATAAAAGCACGATGGTAGTTTGTGTTTTTTACTTTTGCTGCAGCCCACCATCGCTTTTGAATGTCCAGATTTTAAGGAACTTTTATGAAAATTTTGTCAACTTGACTGGTTTTATTACTGCAGGTAGGGACCAAACACTTGAAAATATATCCAGACATTTTCAATACAACGTAAAATAAACAAGGGTTTCTTCACACAGTTTAAAAACAATTTCAATTTTTTTTTACAAACGAGGTTACAAAACAAAATAAATACAAACTTTCTCTGTTTATATATCAAAACACGTACCAACCTAATTTTAATACAATTTTAGAAAGACATAACTAACCATAAATATTCCTATTAGAAAAAGATGGAGATACAAACGCGGTATTTCTTGTCAAATTCGCACAGAAGAATTCCTGTGCTGACTGTGTTATGGTTCCATCGATTCATCAGCGACCAATGAAAATAGGCGCTTTATTATGACGCGTATAATGCCGCAAAAATAGTGCGTTTTAAAGTATTGATTTAAAAGTGAATTTTTCAAAGCACTATAACTTTGTTATTTATTATTAATTTAAAGTAGTTTTTGTATGAAAATAATTGTTTTTTATGCTTAATCTGCTTATAGCATCAGATTCGTTAAATTCGTTTACACTAAACACGCCCATTGTGGTCAAAATCGCGATTACCCGGGCTGAACACCAGGAGGGTAATGCCAAACACTAGGAAGGGAGTTGCGAACAAAGGTACATTTATTTATTACATTAATTAAAAAAAATACATTGGTGCTTTTAAAGTACAAATATAGGTACCTAACTGTCGAACTATAATGATAACAAAAAAACTAGATTCTTAGGAAGAAGAAAAAATTACTTAAATTATCAGGCACAACTTTTTTGCCTTTAATTAAGATCAACTGATGAAAAAAAAACATATTAAATGCAAAGGTCACATTTGTAGTTGTCAGGCTTCTCTGTACCGCTGCATAATTTATGTGACCGCCCTCCACAGTTGATACATCTGTACCAGATTTCATTCTTGCCGTATTCCCCGCAGATAATGCAAGACTCTCCATCATTATGGTCAATATTTATATTTTGTTGGTCAGTGTCATCTAATTCATCGTCATTACACAGGTCTTGATCATTAATACTTTCCTCGTCACTTGACGAATCAAAAACTTTTTGTTTAACCGACTTTGTAATCTTCGTGGTTGCTAATTTTTTTTGTCCTTTATTTTTTGTATATAATTTTCTATTTTTTTTTGTCTTTAGTTTTCTTTTTCCTCGAGCTCCTCCTTGTAGGGTGTAGCAGTAAGAACTTCAGACCGTTCTATCCCATGAAGTTTTATTTTTAGTACTACGTTTAACTTGCGGAATTTTTACTACACTATCTGTAACATTTACTTCTTCTTTTTGACTTGGATGTCAACAAATCAACTTGATTTAAATTTTAGTATATCTTGGTCATCCGATGTACTAAATGATTTTAATCTATCGTAAAATCCGTCTGATTTTATAAGCAATGGCTATTCTAGACGGTTTTGAATTCATCTCAAGATGTTTTATGGTTTTTGTACCTAGAAGTTTGTTTTGGTTTTGGTACAATCTGAAGACCGTTGTATAATTCATCTCTAGAAGATCTAGACAGTTTCGAGTTTAAGTTAGAATACCAAATATCACGAGATCATTCACGTTGCAGAATTACGAATAAGGATCCCGAATCCCTTTGTGGAAGTTGCCTGAGGATATGCCATGCGATAACCCAGTTTTACATTCCTTATATTACCTTCATTTACCAAAAGATAAGTTTTATTTAATAAATCATTTTAATGTGAATTAGAATTTGCTACTACCTTATCTAAAGCATGGTTTAAATATTAGTGGTTAGTGATTTTCTATATTTTTATCACTAATTTAGAGTCAAGTATAGTAAGCTTTAAACATAGTGGTGCACAACTTCTTTTTCAAAGTTATTCGAGTTATTTAATAACCTAACCCACGCCCAATAAATTGAGTTCAAACACATTAAACAAGTAGATAGAATAACTAGAGATCACGTTACAAAAATGGAATCTACAGGACTTTTTCCAGTCTCATTATTTTCTTAAACTGGGTTTCTGGTATTATCTAAGGTCGGTGACTGAGAATTCCTGAGATTTTTTCTCATAACTGCAGCTTCATTTTCAGCAAGTTGGATATTTTCAGTTACAATGAAAATAATCGGTGACAAAAAATTATCTCGGGTAAATACATTTCGGTTTATGGGAAAAATTTCTGAAAACCACTTTATCTGGGGTGGCATCTCTTATATAAGCTTTAGTAAATAAGCTGTTAACGTCATAAATGGTTATTTTTACATATGGTCTCATTTTTAAGAAGATATCACATTCGACATCGTAGGCTTTCTTAGTAATGAAAAAAAAGTAAAATGCAGAGACTGGATTCGGTGGGAGGTATGCGGCGGTATACAAAGCAAAATGATTCAATTCTCCTTGCAGAAGGTATAAATTGGCAAAGAAATGTGACTATTAATGATTATCCAACACGATCAATACTGGATCATCTCTAGTGGGTTGGTGAATTTTTGCAAAATGTTGAATCCATACCAAAAATATCTCTTATAGCCATCCAGCCACTTTTTGTGCATTTATATACAGATCCAAGAGGTCCGCCTTTTTCTAAAGCAGGTGTCATTCGAATTCATGGGTATAGAAACATTGGTGGGGTAAAGGATCC